ATCCACCCACCTCAGCCTCCCAACGTGCTGGGATTACAGGCATGACCCATCACGTCTGGCCTAAAACAGATTTTTATCACTTGATAATTCCTTCTAACGTATTTCAGGAGGACTTTATAGTTCAGCTTCTGATTGTGTGAGCAAGAAACTTGAATATTAAGTACCTGATTTTACTTAAAAAAAGATTCATCACCAACAGTGTATTTTGACCATGCCATTTTTAAATTTAACAAATATGTAAGTGTATATATATTTAAATGTGCCCATATATAAGCATAAATGATATAAAATTGATCTTAAATGTTTTATTTCTAAGCTTGTATTTTAAGCTTATATTTTAATGTGATGTTAGTATTATAAAATCTCAACTTTATTCCTCTTTAGATTTCAATTGCATCTTTTTTATGGGCATTTATAAGATAGGAGAGGGCCTGGGCGTGGTGGCTCATGCCTGTAATTCCCAGCCTTTTGGGAGGCTGAGACTGGCGGATCACCTGAGGTCAGGAGCTCAAGACCAGCCTGCCCAACATGGTGAAACCCTGTCTCTACTAAAAATACAAAAATTAGCCAGACATGGTGGTGCATACCTGTAATCCCAGCTACTCAGGAGGCTGAGGGAGGCATGAGAATCGCTTGAACCTGGGAGGTGGCGGTTGCAGTGAGCGGAGATCACACCATTGCACTCTAGCCTGGGTGATGAGTGAAATGATGTCTCAAAAATAAATAAATAAATAAGATAGGAGGATATCATTCATTAGATTTCATGAATGCTTTCTTTTTAAAATTTTTTTCTTCTCTAAACAGTTTTTCAGTTTATATATTAAAAAATGGAGGAACATAAGGACTTGTGTTCTTTTTATGTTATATATGGTTTATAGTTAATAATGTTTTCAAGTTTCTTTAAAAAAGCACTTTAAACATTATTCTAAGCATATATATTTTTCACCAAAAATATGAAGGGATAATTGATTGTATTTATTTTGCTACCAGTACATGGTTTAAAATGGGTGTTGAAATAATGCATTTTTATTCTTTTTCCACAATGGTAAGGTTTTATTTCAAAGCGATTGATGACTTGCCATTTGCCTTTCATCTCAAGCAGGATTCCCAGCTGGCACTGAAGCTGAACAACACGCTCCGTTTTATTCTTTGCCATCTTCATTGGAAAGGACACCCACCAAAATGACAACATCCCAGAAAGTTACCTTTTGTTCTCATGGCAATTCAGCTTTCCAGCCAATAGCATCAAGCTGCAAAATTGTGCCACAAAGTCAGGTTCCTAATCCTGAGTCACCTGGAAAGTCCTTCCAGCCCATCACCATGAGCTGCAAGATTGTGTCAGGTATGCAGATGTGTGGAAGACAGTGTATGTGGAGTTGACTGGATGTTAAAATTGTTGGAACAACAAAACAAAATACTGTGGCTTTTTTTCTCTCAAGTTTTTCTAAGCAGTGTTTCTTTAACAAAAGGAAGTCTATCGCTGTTGATTGCAAAACTGTCACAAGGCAAAAACAAAGCTCATTCATATGGAAATGAATGGAGGAAATAAATGAAACTGAAATGGTCAAATTTTTGTCTCCTAGAATCACCAGAGGTAAAATATTTGCTAGCAAATATGGCTGAAACTACAGTGTAGGAATCGTGTTTGGGGATTATATACATGGAAACCACAGTGACTAGTAATAGAAAAAGTTTAGAGGCCTTTGGCGTGGAGTTAAGCTTTAAGGGTTAGAATTGGGTGGGAATTGAAATGCTTTATTCTCTCTGTAACCACATTAGAAAATTACTCATTCCTATTGTCAGTAGGTAGTTCCGAGTTGTCTTTTTCACTAAGGTTGGATTATCCTTTGTCTTGTGACAGTTTCACATTATGTTAAGTAAAATTTAGTAGGAATATATACTTTATGGTTTTGACTGTTCCACCTTAGAACAAAACATATTTGTTAAAAGGCAATTGAAAATATCCAGGAAGTGTGAGGACTTCTGTACAATACTTAAATGAAGGGGGGAAAAGGGAATGTTTGGTGTTATAAGTAGACAGCTAAGCAGAAATATGATCCAAATCTTTGAAATTGATGAGAGATAAATAGCTTCTAATTGGTAGGCAATTTTTTTTGTTTTTGTTTTTGTTTTTTTTTTGAGATGGAGTTTCACTCTTGTCACCCAGGCTGGAGTGCAATGGCACAATCTTGGCTCACTGCAACCTCCGCCTCTCGGGTTCAAGCGATTCCCCTACCTCAGCCTCCTGAGTTGCTGGGACTACAGGCACACACCACCACTCCCGGCTAATTTTGTATTTTTAGTAGAGATGGGGTTTCACCATATTGGCCAGGCTGGTCTTGAATTCCTGACCTCAGTGGATCCACCCACCTCGGCCTCCCAAAGTGCTGGGATTACAGGTGGGAGCCACCGCTCCCTGCCATTGGTAGGCAATTTTACCTACCAGGTAGGAAAATTTTGGAATTTACTACTTCAGAGGTAGAATAGGCCAAACATATAAATTGATTTGAAGTTTAGAGAAGTTCATGGATGATAAGTTTGATCAATAAAAGACAGTAGAGGATGTTTAACTGTCAGTAACTTTTGAGAGTATTTTGCGGGAACACA